CCCAGCCCTACCAGGTAGGTGATGAAGGCCACATAGGCGGCCAGCAGCAGGCCCAGGGGGATGTGGTACCCCAGGCCCTGCAGCGTGGGCAGGAAGTCCACCACGAAGTAGATGTTGATGGCGCAGACCAGCCCCGTGATGAGTGTCATCAGCACCTTCCCCAGGCTGCGGGCAGGGGACCGGGCATCAGTGCCAGGGCAGAGCCCCCACCCCGTGTGCCACCAGGCACAGTGGTCTGGGGGATCTGGGTTTGTAGGTGAGCAAGACCCCAACCGGGATATCTCTGCACCCTGCAGCCGTACTACACACGATGGGGCTCTGGGCATGGGCTTTGGCCACCCTCTGAATGCAGGGCTGGCAGTGCCAGGAGGATGCTGAGGACCCGGGGGGGCTGCCCTGGGCACCCCCCTCAATGCCCATACACCTGCTGCCCCCACGGCGCGGTTTGGGGGGGCACGATGGGCTGAAGGGAGGGTGCCTGCAGCCAGGGTGCCCCGCTCTGGCCCCCCCGTGCCTCCCCCTGCCCTGGCACTCACAGGCCGTTGGTGAAGTCCTGCATGAGCGGGCGCAGGCTGGTGAAGGTGAGGATGGGCAGGATGGCGAAGGGCAGCTGGAAGGAGAAGGGGGTGAGGGGGCACGGTCACCGGGCTGGGGTGTTGGAGGGCAGGCAGTGCCCCCCACCTTACCAGGATACTCTGCAGGACATTGAGCAGGTCGTTCATGCCCGTGAGGTGGCTGACGTCCTTGAAGGCGGCCACGAAGACGGTGGGCAGGATGGCGAAGGAGCGGGTGAAGAGCACCCGGCTGAAGCGGGACCAGCGGAGCTGCAGGAAGCCCTGGGGACACGGCAAAACCTGCGCCCTCGCCCCTTGCCACGCCTGGGGCACCGTGCCGGGGTGGCCCCCCCAAACCCTAGCTCGGAGGGACATGGGGGCCATCACTCCCTCCTCTGTGCCAGGGTGCTGAGCGGGCCCTTGCAGGGCTGCTGGGCCCCGCTAGAGGTCAGCTCCAGCTCGTTAAGCAAACGAGCTCATTAGGGAAACACCGCGTGGGGCACCAACGGGGTGCCCCTGGGAGGAGGTGTCACAGGGCTGGCCGTGCAGCGGCAATGGGTGGGCACTGTCCCCATCCCACCTCCTGGGGACCGGGGACCCTGGTGCCAGCAAGCTGCCACCCACCAGGTGGGCAATGTCCCATGCCCAGCTCCCTGCAGGAATGGGGGGCAATTAACTCTGCCAAATACCCCTGGGGGGGGCGCTGCCCCTAGGACCCCCCACCCAGCGCCCACCCGTGATTCCCTTCCCTCCCAGCTGCTCG